CAGCACTGCGGCAATCTATCAAAACTGAAATATTTCATGCAAAAATGCCAAGCAGACTCACACGAGCTATGGGCCACACAAGCAAAGACAGACGACAAATTAGAAGGAAATGTTGCTGGATTGCAACAAACTATTCAGTGGCTAAGAGATCAAAACATGGACTTGTAACATCAATTAATGTTCAAAGGTGATTGGAATATAACTGATTTCTGTGCAACTCCTTATCCAATATAATTTAACCTTACATGAATGGGCTTTAATCAAAAGTCACTTGCAGGGATTTAAGGGAAATTTTTCTTTATATGTAATTCAGCTGAAAAAGGAAAAATCCAATACTGTACCTTTAAGGACGGGTTAGTCATCCCCTAGCTCTGATGTGGTTAAACAATTACATGGTTTAAACAGGGACTTGACCTCGGGTATGGGTTCAAAGCATTTTGCCTAGTGGAGATTCTAGCCTAACTGTCTTGCTTTTGGTCATCATTCTCGTTCTTATGACCACATGCTGTTTCCACAGAAAGCGAAGGCATCTAAGATAATATACCCTCAACAGCTCTGTTTACGGCTGCACCCCCTCTACAACGCTCACCAGATCCTGCCGCCCTTGTCCAGCAAGAAGTAATTACCTCTGGCCCTATTCCCGGTTATTAAAAGGCAGGAATAATAGGTCCAGCTGGGCAAAGAGCAGCCTCAGTCATTTACAAGCTTCTTTCACCTGCTGCCCCTCTGCCACCTTCCCTTGCACCAGATAATTCCTGTGCCCGTAAAAGGCTACATTCAAACTTCTCAATCAGGAGAATGCCCAGTCCTTTTACAGATCCAATGATTAATTTCTGTCCTGAAGGATATAAGCAAGGGGGGCGGGGGTTCTTCATCTGGCGCTGACTCTTCTTGCCCTCAGGCTCTATCCCTTGCCACCCACCCAGTTTTTCCGTGGCGTGGCTCTCCGAATCTGGTTTCCCCACCTTACCTGTCTCTTCTTTTTTCTGCGCCATCCCTGCCCTCTCTCCTTTTCGCACCCCATTCAAGTTCTCTCCTGCTCCCTGCCTCCTCTGTCATTACTCTCTAGGCCCGTTCCCTCCCCAGTCAGGGTAAGCGGTGGCTCTAACCTCCTACATAGCTATCCTAATTCACTTTCACTCAGCTTCCTTTGATAGCCCTCTAGTTTGAATATATCCCTGTAGGTCCCCTTTCCAAAAATAAAGACTTTTAATCAATGCTTGTTTTGTTTTCCTCGCCTCCAGTTCTTTAATTTTGGAGATGCCTTTAGGCTTCAGGTTGGCTCCTATTTCAGTACCCACATGAAGCTTCACTACTGATCTTATCAGCCTTAGATATTTATTGGTAATAAGTTTCTACAATGAGAATCCTTTTCCAGGAGTAAGAAATGCTTTACAAATCAATATATAAATCCACTCAAAGCAGAACAATTATGTAATTTGTTCCAAAAGTTAAAAAAAAAAAAACAACCCCAAAGGAGTGAGTTTGTGCTTAATTGCTAAGGCCACATTTTCATCAGAAAGAAATGGGGACACACACACACACACACACACACACACACAGAGTCCCCCATTACCTTCAGTAGCTATCTGTAAAGATTTCCTTTCTCCTGCCCAGCCTATGTGTCTGGGAGGTTTTCAGCACTGTAACCTACAGAAGGAAGTTAGTATAGTATATAGATAGGACATTCTAAAACACCTTTAAAACACTGGCTATGTTACTGAGGCTGAGACCAAAAAAAAGAAAGCTCAATCAGAAATGTGTTTAGAAAATTTGTTGATCCAAATTGGGAGTCAAACACATATACAGTACAGAAATAGATGCAACATGAGGGAGTTTCAAAAAGTTTTTGGGAAAATGACTACGTAAGACTAATACCAGAGAGATGAGAGTGAGAGGGACACAGACACAGATAGAAGCACTAAAATTAGAGGAAGCTACTCTATAATGAAAGAATAAAATTAGGAAAGCAACTGAGGATCTAAGAGA